AGTGTGCGCAATGCCTGGTTTCATGTGTCGGGGTTGATTAGACCACGCAGCAAAGGTTCTAGGTTTATATAGACCTTTTTCTATTTTGCTCATTTAACCCTATTTTATAAATTTAAAAATATTTCATATATTACCTCCTAAGAGGTAGTAATAAGTCATGGTATCCATCCAGATTTAACTAAAAATGCTACTCCAAAATCCTTCAACATTGCCCAAATGCTCTAAGTTGTATGGTGTATGGACCCCACATGACACTAATATCTTTTTTGTATGACGTAGTCCATATGGACCTCTTTCGTATATTTAACTGCAAAAGAATACGATAGTTCAAAAGGGCGCATAAAATGAACTCTGGTTGAGTGATATTCTCAAGCAAAAAGTGTACACTTTACCCTTGGCAATGGTTCGCTGGCCACGTCGCCTTGCATGCAGTTTGGCCATGGCCAGCCAAATGAGCTCGGGCCAGCAAATTGGCTGCTCAGATCATGCCGCAGTTTTTATGGAGTAGCTTGGCCGGCAAAAATCTTTTAGGACTACCCTAATTTTGGCCTTGAACCAAATTACAACCAAATGTTGAAGGCATGGCCAAATTTTGGCTTGGTCAACAGTTCAGTTGCAAGTCTGAAATTTGTCCCTGATCATGACAATACCCAGAGGTTCCCAGTAAGAACTCTGCAACAACAGTTGGGTCACAGGACAAGAACTTCATTGAGTGTCGTACAATGCCATGATACAAATTAGCCCCAAATAAGCCATTGATTCTATAGACGTCAGTGAATACATTTGCATTTTGCAGACACCAATTACACCCAACACAACAGGAAGTGGCTAATGCCGCAATGCTCTCTGCACAGGAACATCACAGGAACATCAAAGTCAATAGCGCCCCGGTACATGTGGTTTTCTTTTTCAATGCTGCTTTGAATGTGTATCCAATGCCTTGCTTAGCCTCAACCTGATCCAATATCTTCACTTAAATGCTTCAAGCTTCTTGTGAGGAAGAAAACATCCAGACAGAGCAGCTGTTCTCATCACCTAATAGAGCACACGAAATTAAATGTGTCACAGCTCCCATTCAAGCATCAGACCTATGATTTGGAAGGCAATTTTGAGAGTCAATATAACATGGACCTGCCAAGTTTAACTCGTCTTCAAACTCATCTTGCATGCCAAATCTTCTGTGCCCGGATGATGTTACAGCAAATGGAAGGTATGGATGGAACGAGAACCCGTTTACAGTATCTAAGATCAAGTTGATATAAGATTAAAATGGATATAATACAGAAATAGAGACAGACTAAGGCGTGTGTGGTTGGGAGACTGGCCTGGGGGCGCTAGCCCAGGCAGGTCGATCCAGCCACCAGGCTTGGAAATCGACGGCCTGGGGAGCCACCTGGGCCAGGCACCTTTTGCCAGGTTCACAACCAAACACGGCGTTAAACCTCCACTGGAAACACAAGTTCAGAAGAGACATACCAGCTGCTGCTTGGAAGCCGGTTACCCATTGACCACCTTGAAGATCATATACATGGACCATGCCATCCTATGGAGACAGGGAAATTCCTCTTTCAGTTTTTGCTGGTTCAAAACATAATTAACTCAAATGAGAAAATTGGCCCTCACCTGCCCACCAGTAGCTAGATGTCTACCGCAGGGCTCAATATCAAAATATATTCTTTGATTAGTAGTATCAGCTGATCTGTACAACCTTATTATGGAAACCACATACACAAAAAAGAACATAAGAAAAGCTTGCACAGAAAAACTAGAAGGGACATAATTCCACTTAAAAATCCAGTATACTGCACCGACATAGTAGTTCAGTTCTACTTATTAACTGATGTAAAATATACTGGATTGGTATAGACATTGAAAGATTGCTAGAGTAATATATGATCAATATAAGGACAGGCTTGCTTCAATTATGATGGCAACTGGATATATCTAATCTAATTAACCCGCACTGGAAAGCAAGCTTACTACACCTAACCAATCGAATAGCTCATCCGTACAATCACTTAAGTATGCCATACGGAAGTAGATAGGTCAGCATTGAAACAATAAACCATATCTGCCACAAGACGCCATAAACCCATAGCTGAAAATATAGCTGTAAGATCTGACCAAATGAAACATTTAAGATAAGATAAGATGACCAAAGAACATATTTTATCATTTACCAAAAGAAACAAACAAAAACTCTGATATGATCATATGAGATAAGGCCTTGTACGTAACCATCAAATCATTTAACAAATCCAAGCCTGTTCGCTGGTTGGTTTCGGGCTGATAAGCCCGGCTGGTACTGATTTATTGTGAGAGAAAAACATTGTTGGCTGGCTGACAAGCCCTGGCTGAAACCAACAAGCGAACAGGCTGAAATTGTTCTGTAAAGGCAAAAATAGATGATTAAACTCTTACTTGTAAACAATGTCCACAGTATTGCGAATATCCCAACATAATATGTATGGATCCTGATAAAACATCAATAAATATTTGATATCATAGACCAAAAGGATTGAGTAAATCTATGCAAGTCATATGAACACTGAACTGCCCAATAGTATGCTAACTGACCAAATGTTGAGAAAATAGGTACCTTGCGCCCTCCAGTATACAGATAGTTCCCGTCTTTCGAAAAAAGCACCTGAAACTTTCATCAATGTTATCTGCTATTCATACGGTAAGATTCAAATGTACACGACTGCTTTCCCAACCTGTGTAACACCACCAAGTTGGCCGTGTAAGACATACAAAGGCTCCATATTACTCTCTGCATACACAGCAGTTGTCTGGCTGTATGAACCAACAGCAAGCATCCCATTTTGTGGAGAGAAAGAAATTGAAGATATTATACCTGTCATGAAAACAAGTGCTCAGAAGCCAAACACTTATAGCAAAGTTTGTGTAACTTCATGAGTCATACCAAAGGAAGTTCAACAACACTAGCCAAAAGTGAGCTGAGATGAAGCAATCAAAATCTTTATAAGTAAAGCTTAGTGCAAAGTTGTTGATAGTGCAGCTTCATAGATCATAGTGCTCTAAACGATAGTTATGTAGACAACAAGTTCTAGCACAAACTTATTTTGGTGGTTTCATTGAATGCTATTGTTCGAGGAAAAAGAATGTGAGGTACATTCTATGATCTACATACTCCAACAGAGTTTTAAGGATGCTTCAAAGCATGTCAAGGGCACCAAACTTACAACTGGAATTGTCACGTACCAGTTGGCCCTTCACCTCCCTTAAGTAAAGAATATTGATCAAAATCTCTGCCAGGCCGATGAACATCAAACACTCTTATAGCTTTGTTGTATCCAGCAAATAGCCTGTAGAACAACATACCCCCAATGAATAAATATTCAAGAAGATTTTACTTCAGTCTTCAGTTTAATTGCCTGAAGTTAGACCACTAACCCATATGTTATCTTAAGATACGAAAGTATGATATTTGACAATAAGCATTACACACAACAAAATGAGTAAGAAACCATTATATTCTTATACTGAGAATAAGACCTAACAGAATCCCATGACTACAAACAGTATGTTTCAGAAAAATTCCTTAAATAACACAAATTCAATTTAGAGTCGGAGTGCATCACACATACTTAGATCCTGTAGAATTGAAAGAAATTGAAAGTGCAGCAGCTATTTCATCCATGGCATCATATGCTCTGTATGTGCACCGGAGCTGCAATTCCCAAACCAAATAATCAGAACCAGAATTACTCGTTAGCCATACACGAAACACAAAAAGCAAGAACAACCAGTCTTACTTCTCCACTGGTGGCATCCCAAAGGTGTATCGGATGATCACGACTGGTGCTTGCAAATACACAGGTGGCTGGGTCTGCAAAACAATAAAAATGCATCAAATTCACTAATTGATCATAAAGGAAGAAGGAACATGAACATATCAAAGAAAGCAATTCATCACCCACCAGACAAGGACATACACGGGTACCAGCAGAAATCGTACACTGGTTCGCCCTCGTTCACCTGAAGGAATGCGCCATAAGAATCTGCAGGGGAAACAATTGAAACTAAAACAGCGGATTGGAAGTAGAGAAGAACTGAATCAACGGAGACAACCATAGGACAGCTAAGCATTCAATGCAAGCATTTACATGATACACTCACACAATCGCAACAGCAAACAACTCAAAACCAGAGACGCACCTTCACCTCCGACGGCGGCCTCGGCAACGGGCTCCGCCGCACTGTACGCTTCCTCCGGCCTGTCCAACGGAAGAAGGAATGCCCCAGTTTTAGCCACTCGCCGCGCGCGCGCGAGAGAGCGTATCAGAAAATGTAAGCGCGCGGCTAACTTACAAGTAGAACAAGCGGAGGGAGTTATCGTCGGAGCTGGTGAGGAAGGAGGACCCGTCGGGCGACCACTTTACGCCCTTGAGGAAGTTCTCGCCGCCGCTGCTGCCAGAGGAAGTGGCGGAGCGGAACTGGCGGGCGAAGTGGTAGAGCCGGCGAGGGGGGCGGTCGAAGTGGAGCTGGGGCCACGAGTACTCCGCCGCCGCCTCCATTGCCGTAGCATCGTTCTCCGAGCCACCCTGTGGCGCCTCCTCCGTCTCCGTAGCTTCGCTCTCCGCGCCGCCCGTTGGCGCCGCCGCCGCCGCTTCCTCCTGCGCCGCTTCCATCGCGCTCAGCTCTTCTCCGGCGAAGCAAAGCAACCGGCGGCCTGGGGCTGGGGTTTCGACGGGTTTCTTTCTGGCTCGTTCCCGTTTGGGCCAGGACCAGGTGGAATCATAGTCAGACAGGCCTGAACCAAACGAAGTCACAGACTCACAGGCCGGGCCTGCAACGGCATCGTGGCCTCGTGAGATTTGACGTATAGGGCCGGGCCCAACCCAACCCCACGTGCACGGCACGGCACGCGACTCACCTCTCCGTCCAGGTAGTTGGAGTCGCGAGCCCACTGGTGGTTGCAGTGTTAGATCCGTCCGCCTGAGCCAGAGCGAGGAGTGAATCCCACGGCACGCGCCATGTCCGACGAGTCACCGCAGCCGCCAGCGCCGCCAGCGCAGGCGGCCGAGAAGAGCCAGCCCGCCGAGCAGGCGGCAGGCGGCTGGGGCGGATGGGGCCTCTCCATCTTCTCAGAGATCTCCCGCAGCGTGAGTACTGAGTAGCACTCCGATCTGCCGGCTTCATACGTCATGCGCAGAATTATTATTTTTTTACTCGGTGGGAGGGTCGGATTAGGGTTTCAATGAATTGATGTGGTGTGGTATGTCCCAGGCGGTGGAGGTTGCTAAGAGTGCCATCGCTGACATTCAGCAACCGCCGGAGCAGGAGACGGGACCCGGTAGTGGCGAGAAGGATCAAGGGAAGGAACCGGAGGGGGAGGAGGAGGAGCGACGCAAGGCGTCTCTGGACAAGCTGGAGAAGGCCAGTGAGGACTCAATCCTGGGCCAGGCAAGTACCTGGCTTGCTTTGCTACTCTCTCAATATTGCTGCTGTCTTCCTGGGCTTGGCAATGCCGGTGACAATGGTTGGTGAATTGCTGTTTGCAATGTGTGTGTGTGGGTTTCTGCAGGGGCTGAAGGCCTTTGATAGCTCGGTGGAGACCATCACGACTGGTACTTGGCAAACTCTTGGGACCGCATGGAAGAGTGGTTCGCTATTTGTTCAAAAGTACATCCCTCATTTTATATCTACTTCAGTTTCTGCTGTTACCGCCCTTGTGGATTGAACAGGAAAAAAATTAGTTCAGTGATGACAGACGCATCCCATGTTGCTTGTCCTTACATTACTTGAAACAGCCTAGACGACCTAGGGTTGCTTCCTCCCACTAGTAAATCCACCCAGTATGTTCTACTTATGAAATTGTGGATCTAGTTGGTTACATCGTACATGTGAGAACATGAGATCCAAATCTGTATATTATATATACTAAATGCCGCTAGCGCTAGTATTATGATGCCATTTATTTCCAGTTACTGGTTGATAAATGAATACATGGGTATTCAGCTGCCTGTGCACATGTATAACATAACATTTCATAGCTGTTTTTATGTACAAGATAGCGATGAGATTCTGAAAACAGACTTTCCATCATAAATTTGTTGTTGTCTCTTATCTGTAACTTTGTATGTCTTTTTTCAATTATCAGCAGGTTAACCTTTCTAATGTCTTATTAATGTTCAATACTCACTCCGATCCAAATTATAAGTCTCTTTGACTTTTTTTTGGTACAATTGGATGTACCAAAAAAAAGTCAAAGCGACTTATAATTTGGAACGGGGGGAGTAGTTAGTAATGCGTTCATTAACAGTAACCCTGCAAGTGTCTCTCCTTTAATTGGATAAGTAACACGTTTGCTTGGTGTATTTATCTCTGACTATAACGTGGTTACTTTCCTAGATTGGAAAGTTCAGCTTCAAGCTTGGCCGAAACCATTCAGCAAGGAGAACTGCCCGCCAAAGCATCTGCGATAGCACCAACCATTTTAGAGGTAACTAGGACTCAGTAATTGCATTGCCTCTACATATATGTGAAAAGAATATAGTTTTAATATTAAAGTTCAATAATCACAGACAGGGAAGTCATTTACAGCAAAAGGAATGGAAGTGCTTGAACGTGTTGGAAAGGAAACAATGGAGTTTATTGTCGAAGAAACTGGTATGGAAGTTGATAAAGGTAGTAATGGTGAAGGTGACCAGCAGACAGAAGAGGAACAGTTTGAAGAAGTCTCATTTGACAGATGCTTCTATATTTATGGAGGGCCTGATCAATTGGAGGTGATGCTTTGTTTTCCCAAGGATATTATGTGTTTGGTCTTCAATATGCCCCTTTTTTCTCTTAGTTGGATGTGGTCTCTTTTTTTTTTTCTTTGTAATAGGAGCTGGAAGCATTATCAAGCCACTATGCATTGTTGTTTAATAGGAAAAAGGGAAAACTTAGTACTGAGCAGAAAACATTTTATGATGGAAAGCTTAAAGAAATACAACAGATTTTTAGTCTTAGCACCAATGTTGACGAAGATGGACCAGAATCTGACAAAGGGAAGAAGATTGAATCAGCTAACACTGACACTGATGCTGAGATGAAGAAGTTATGTGAATCCAGTGTTAGCAAGGCTGCTAAGATGGCTGCAGGGTATGTGTATCCTTCACTCCCATGTGAATTCAAAACTAGTATGTTGGTACTTATATTTAGTTTTGTCAAGTATTGATGAAATTATTGATGAAATCGTGTCAATTAATGAAAAGGCATTTAGCATGTGGTTGACTAGATAGACAGCAACTTCTTAAGAAAATCCAATGTATGCATGATGAAAACAACATGGTTTAACTTTTTGCGATATATTGTCCCCTCAAGTCGTTCTAAAAATATCTTCTAATTTAGACTTCATTTGTTGGCATTCATTTCTTTAAAAGCATTCTTGAGAGTTAAGGGCGGGCCTGGTGCAAGCGGTAGAGTCTTACCGCCTGTGACCGGAAGGTCCCGGGTTCGAGTCGCGGTCTCCTCGCATTGCACAGGCGAGGGTAAGGCTTGCCACTAACACCCTTCCCCAGACCCCGCATAGAGCGGGAGCTCTCTGCACTGGGTACGCCCATTCTTGAGAGTTGAGACCATTATATATCTGTCACCTTTGCAGGTTCACCACTGCCTTGGGTGGGCTTTCTCCAAATGAGATTATCAAACGGACCACTAATAGGCTTGAGACCATTCACTCAGAGGGTGTTCATGTATGTACATACTATATAATGTATCGTTCTTTGCTTTTAGATTTGATATTTCTTTGAGGGGAAAAAACTCTTTCTTGCAGAAATTATCAGAGATGTGCTGCCTTGCAGTTTCTCAGCTTCTGGTGCTAGGAAAGTCAGTAATATCTTCTGCCAATAAATCAAAGAATGAAGACGATGAAAATGATGTTAAGATTGATTGGCCTGAAGATCCTATTTCAAAAGCAAAAATAATCAGATGGAAGGCGCAATCCATCTCTGTGGACATGGAAAAGGTGTCTACTAGTTTTGCTACAGGTAATGGACCTCTCATGATGAATTGATTACTCTATATAGGACGTGAATTTCAAATTTCACAAATGCCAACTCATTTGTCTATAGGTATCTCGGATGTCGCTGAAGCTTATGCGGCAGCTATGCAAAATGCTCTTGCTGACAAGCAGGATGACCTCCCAAATCAAAAGTCTTTGCAGGAGAAGGTTAAGTCCATATCCATCCATCTTAACTCCGATCAGACCAGTGCTGTCAGCAAGCTACAAGACGCTCTGCGGTACCTGGCCCACGTTGTCGTATGCGCTTCAATGCCAAGTGTGTAATTGTGGTGCGTTTCCTGTGTTGAGCATTGCCTCAATTGTTAGCCATTTATGTACATTTGCCTACGGGTTCTCTTCAGTGTTGCAGAATTAGGGCCTCTAGCTATCATCCTACCACCCGTTCGCTTTGAAGGAATCTGGAGGAATTTGTGAGAGGAAAATACTGTTTCGGATGAAGAAAAAAAAACGGAAATAAGTCGGGTTTAAGGGCACGCGAACGGGGCTAATAGGGCGTGTTGGTTAGTTGTGATGGTTGTACTCCATTGCACTTGGAAAGTTGTTGCTCTCTCTGTTTTTCCTCTGAGAACAATGAACTGCTGATGTTTAATATACATACAAGTGAACTGGTGTGTTCAATTAACAGCTGATGGCTTACTGCCCAGTCCGGTCTGGTTCGTGTTTTTGTGGCATTTCAGAAAAGATTATTATTCACTCGAAAGGTTCAGTCCACGCGGGGTTTGGTCCCTGCCGGTGTAAGATGGTGCCTGTAGGTGTGGGCAAGGGCCAGATTTTCTACGGTATCATTTCGTTTGTATTTGATAGTAATTGTCCAACCGTTGACTAATTAGGCTTAAAATGTTCGTCTCACAAAGTACAACCAAATTGTACAATTAGTTTTTAATTTCGTCTACTTTTAATATTCTATGTATGTACCGTAAGTTTGATATAACGGAGAATCTTCTTTTTTCCGTAGTGCCAAAGTTGGGAACTAACCAAGGGCAGCTGAGCGCAGAGGGCTAAAAACAGAGAGCTTGGTAGGGGGGCTATGGGCGCACATCCCACTCCAGAGAGTCCAGACCTTTTGACGAGGGTGTTCGGCTGGTCGTGTTATGGATTGTTTCAGCTTTATTTTAGCTTATTCTTCCTCATAGAATACTATTGAATTATCTAAAACAATCTAAAATTTACTGTGCAGTCTATCAGCCAAACACGCTGGATGTTTTTTTAGAGCATTGCACTATGCCACTACGATGTTTATATGCCCGTACTAGCAAATGCCCGTGCACTGCTACAATAAAATACTAATTGAGTTATTTTCTTTGGGAAACAAAGGATGTTGTATCTTTTTTCAGGGATTCATTTTAGAGAATTTACATAAAAAACGACTTCTCTTTGAAGATAAAGTAGAGATAGACATAACTTATCAAGTGAGATATTATTTTGTCTAACTAGACATTAAGGCCCCGTTCAGCTTGCTGAATCTTGACTGAAAAATACTGTTCTGGCTAAAATGTTGTGAGAGAAAAACATTGTTCCGGCTGAAAAAAAGAAGCCGAACAAGCCGGATATGGGGTAAGCCGAACGGGGCCTAAATTCTAACTTCCCATGTCCAAAATAAAATGCCTACAAATATTACCTTGAACAGTAAGTTTAAACATCCGTTCAAAGCCCCTAAAGGCATCCCCACACTGCAAACGCACCACGGTGGATATATGCCCCCAACATCCACAACAGCACAAAGGCTCCATGTCACGCGTGTTGGTTGCTTCGCGGATGTGCAGAGTCGCATGTAGGGGCGCCAATAGTCTTCTTTAACAAATCACAGGAATATTTATCCAAGCCTTCACTGTGACAAACTAGTACACGGTTCTAAGGAGAGACACATAGTGACGAGTTGAAAGAGGATGTTGAGTGAATAAAAACGACATGCATGTTTCAGATGAAAAACCAATATCGTTTTCAAGGATGGAAGTCTAGTATATTCATATCATGCATGTTTAGATAGAGAGTAAACTTTTGCAAGGCTGATAGAAACATATGCTTTCGTTGGTGGTGTTCTAAGGTCAGCACCAACACACTGACTTAACTTGTAGGCTCAACTTGCCAACTATCGTCCTATTCATTTGAGCTTGTTTGGCTGATAAGCCATGGCTGATTTTTGGTGTAAGAGAAAAATATTATTCGTTAGCTAAAAAAATACGACTTATAAGCCAAATAAATCCAAACGAACGGGACGTATACTTGGATGTCAGTATGTCACGTTGTTCTAAAACCATATGCCTTAAAATTGTCATATAAGAGGCTACTATTGCCTCAGGAAGAGCGTATTTGGTACCACTTGCGTCCGCTTTAGCTTCTTCTGACAAATACTGTAATGTCACTGTTTGTAACTGTAGCGTGAAGCTGTGAGCTTCTTTAGCTCAATGCTGGTACCGTGCGTCTATAGTGTTGAAGCTGAAACAGGCGTGGGCGGTACCAAACACGTCCTAAAAGTGACAGGTGAGAGAAAATAGAGGCTCTGGTGAATAAAAGAAAGTGCAATCGTAGCTGGGAAAATAGTGGTTCTGTGATCCGATGCCTGTGTGTAGAATAGTGGCATGTGCATAAATATCATATCCTATTAACTTTTGTTGAAAGCCAACACTGCTACGTGCTTGCTTGGGTGAAGGCCATGCCATGGCCTGAAGAAAGAGCCGCCATCACGGTGCTGCACTTTTCGGCTCCCTCCTGCTTCCACATGCCCTGCGCGGCGTCTAGAAAGCCTGATTCAGCAGCACACCTGCCCGCCCAGACGCCGCCTACGCGTACACTGGTATGGGTAACAGTTTTCCAATACCGCGTACACACACGCTCCGAGTCGCAGATCCTAGCAAGCGCGGCGCATCCGACAGCCACGACAGCGTGGTGCCGTCCCCCGCCCCCACCGCTTGGCGCTTGTCCACGTCCCCCTCCCCCTCCCCCAAGGCCCCATGAGCGGAAACCACGGTCCACGGACCACGGCTACGTTCCAGTCCAGGTGGAGGCCGTGCAGCCCCGGTTTTCGCTCTCTGCGCCGTGGTTTGCTGCCCACGAAGGTGGCGAAACCGCACCCTCCTTCCCATCGTTTCTCATCTCTTCCTCCTTTAGAGCTAGTATATAATCAGGGCTCTCGTCTCCTGGCTCCTCACAGGTTCGTCTCGGTTTGGATTGATTGGTTTCATCGGTGGTGAGGTGAGGGTCCTGGGGTCGATTGATTTGGGATTCTGTTCGAGGATTTGGGAGGAGGCAATGGCGACCGCGGGGAAGGTGATCAAGTGCAAAGGTCCGTGATTTCTCCTCTGTTTCTTGATCTGACTAATTTTGGTTTATGGTCCGTGAGTAATTTTGGGGAAAGCTTCCTATATAGTTTTATTTTTTTCGATGAACAGTGCCGCATTGGTGCTGATCTTGTATGTTGTCCTGCAATCGCGGTGAACTTGTTCTTTTCTATCCTTTAACCCCCATGAAATTGCTATTGAACTTTCTTACATCTTCCAGCACTGCTATTACCGTGTGTTCCATCCGACAGTCTGGCTGCACTGACACTACTTATGGAGCATTGCTTGTTAGGTGCATGACAGGATCACTAGCCATAGATCTAGCATATATGCTGACATTTGAATGAATAGCAAACTCTAGAACGGGATCTAATGCGAACAAAAGAGAGAGAGAGAGAGGGATGCCGGTGGCAAACCATCGGCCGCCTTCGCTAAAGACGAGCTGGCCATCACGGTGCTCGGTGGAGGCGTGACTGTGAAAGGCGGTGATGCAGTGGCGGTGCTTCCCGTTGCTGGCAATGCCCCCTCACTTAGATCGGCTTAGGGTTAGAAGTGTAGGTGGGGTGTCTGGCAGCGCAGTTGATTCTCGTGCCTTGTGCCTTGGCCCCCACCTTCCTTTTTATGACGTTGTGCGACGGGGGCCCATCAACCATGGAGCGGTTGGGCGCCCCCGATCAGGGCGCGGATCGAAGGGCCCAATTGGGCCAATTGGTGGAGATCAATCTTTCTTTGAATTTAACTAATTCGTTGAGTGGCTCTGTTTCTCTGACGGAAGACATTTGCTAATCCACCATGTTCATTAGAATTTTGCCTGTGTATAGCAAGGGCGGAAAGTTTGCATCTTGATGATTAGCTTGACTATGTGATTGCTTTCTTGGACCCGTGCAGCTGCGGTGGCATGGGAGGCCGGCAAGCCACTGTCGATCGAGGAGGTGGAGGTAGCGCCTCCGCAGGCCATGGAGGTGCGCGTCAAGATCCTCTTCACCTCACTCTGCCACACTGACGTCTACTTCTGGGAGGCCAAGGTATCTAATCAGCCATCCCACATTTGTACCTTGTCAGTAGATATGATGCAACAACTCGCGGTTGACTTGCGTTTTCTTGGCGGCTTATCTGTCTTAGGGGCAGACTCCGGTGTTCCCTCGGATCTTTGGTCATGAGGCTGGAGGGTATGTCTCTTTCCCAATTTACTTCATTATATGTTGCTGACTATAGGTGTAGTGTGTTTATACTTTACATACTTATTATGTTCGTGCGCCTGAATTTATGTTTATCGTTGGTAGTCTTTGTTTAATGGCTTACTAGATGCATGTGAAAGAGTCATTAGAAATAGTTTTTGTTTGAAATGGTACATCAAGGTTTGAATATTATCCGTGTGGACGTCAGGTGTTCTGGGCTCCTGGCAGTGGACTTTGATAGATTTATGATTCTTTCAGCAGCAGTTTCTTCAGCTAATTTACTCGTAGTATTTTTCAGTTTACAAAAGACAGTACAACTAGGGTTGTGCAGTCCTTTAATTGACATATATCAAGTTGTGCTTTCAGTATACTGCTGTAGAATAATTTTAGCTTTGTCATCTGAGCCAAATTTGCTTATTCTAGCCGCCCTGAAATTTGTTGATTTTGACAGTATCATAGAGAGTGTTGGAGAGGGTGTGACTGACCTAGCTCCGGGTGACCATGTCCTTCCTGTGTTCACTGGGGAGTGCAAGGAGTGCCCCCACTGCAAGTCGGCAGAGAGCAACATGTGTGATCTGCTCAGGATCAACACTGACCGGGGTGTGATGATTGGTGATGGCAAGTCACGGTTTTCAATCAATGGAAAGCCTATCTACCACTTTGTTGGGACTTCCACCTTCAGCGAGTACACTGTCATGCATGTTGGTTGTGTTGCAAAGATCAACCCTCAGGCTCCACTTGATAAAGTTTGTGTTCTTAGCTGTGGTATTTCTACTGGTGAGTTCATTTACTACATTTTGGTATGGATGTTAGAATATATTTATCTTTAGATGCTGAGTTATATAATTTCTATGTTTAGGTCTTGGTGCGTCAATTAATGTTGCAAAACCACCAAAGGGTTCGACAGTGGCTATTTTCGGTCTAGGAGCTGTTGGTCTTGCCGTAAGTGTTGAAATGATTCGCTTGTTCTATGACCTTTCAATTGCAATGAGAATGTGTGTTGGGTTTGCATCTGATTACCCTGCACACGATTAGGCTGCAGAAGGTGCAAGGATTGCTGGAGCGTCAAGAATCATCGGTGTTGACCTGAACCCTAGCAGATTCGAAGAAGGTGGATCCCTTTAATCTAATAACTGAATAGTCATTTTACTATTTTGTTTTGATAAGTCAGTAGCTTATCCCTTTGTCCATTTTTCAGCTAGGAAGTTTGGTTGCACTGAATTTGTGAACCCAAAAGACCACAAGAAGCCCGTGCAGGAGGTCTGTTTCTTTACCTGAGACAACAAAAGGTTATCACAGCTTATGCTGAACTTGACCATAACATGCAATTCTCTTATGGTTTAGGTACTTGCTGAGATGACCAACGGAGGTGTTGACCGCAGTGTGGAATGCACTGGCAACATCAACGCTATGATCCAAGCATTTGAATGTGTTCATGATGTAAGTACTCTTATACATATACTGTTCAGCTATCGTTCTCCAAGTTCCCTTTATTGAGACATGTTCTAACCGCTGTGCTTTTAAATCCAGGGCTGGGGTGTTGCTGTGCTAGTGGGTGTGCCACACAAGGATGCTGAGTTCAAGACTCACCCAATGAACTTCCTGAACGAGAGGACCCTGAAGGGAACCTTCTTTGGCAACTTCAAACCACGCACTGATCTGCCAAATGTGGTGGAGCTGTACATGAAAAAGGTAAATGCAAAGTGTTGTTTGTTCAGTTTCCTTACCAGTTGACCTTTGCTGAAATTGTCATACCCAAAGAATGGTCCTACAACTCTGCTTGGTTGTGCACAGGAGCTGGAGGTGGAGAAGTTCATCACACATAGCGTTCCGTTCGCGGAGATCAACAAGGCGTTCGACCTGATGGCTAAGGGGGAGGGCATCCGCTGCATCATCCGCATGGAGAACCAGATTTCGCTGTCTGGTTTGTGATCTGACCTGGGTTGGGTTAATAAAAGAGGCAATGCTGAGCCTGCCCTTTCGATGAGGTAGATACACGCTGGTAATGCACCACGCTTGTGTGCCGCGTTCAGTTTGGCTTTGTCAATCAGTAGATCAGCTTCCCGTGTCTGTAATTATATATCGGCATGAGTCTTGTGAACCATCATCTTTTGGCGTAATATATGGTATGGTACCACTATGAGTTTCAGTCTATAAACTTCTGGCTCATTTGCGGTGATGCTTTAGTTGTGTTTGCTGCTGCTTGTGTGCAAATCCGTTTGAATTTTGTCTGAACTTGTCTCCAGTGGTTGTACAGCAGGTACCAGGCTCCGCAGTCTGGGCAGGCAGACAGCTTCACTTTCTTTCAGCTTAAATACTCTTGCATAAATTGGAATTCCCAGTTATCTACTCTACCCTTCAAATCAGGCATACGGGCCAGGAAACTCTAGTATATTTTCTTTTTTTGAACAAAATCTAGTGTATTTTCGTTGATCTACAGTCGCTGTGTCGCGCATATGCTCCAGACATGTCATCAAAATATTCAGAAATCAAACCAAATCACGGATGATGGAATGAATATACAGAGGTGGTAAGGAACGCATTAACTTTCGTTTTGACTAGAACCAAGTATAATTTGCTGCGCGAATGGTGGCGAAATTGAATTTGTATATGTGTGTGTCTCTCTCTCTCTCTCTCTCTCTCTCTCTCTCTCTCTGATAGAAGAACTAAAGAATTTACTACACCTCGCTCGTATCCAAAGTAAATAAAAAAAACGCCAATAGAAGAGGAATCAATCAGCGAATTTCAGAGCAAGCCGGGGCGCGAGTGGAAGGGGAACTGATGCATCACAACTACGGGAGCCTTCTCACGATCCCTCTTCTTCCTCTCCTTGCCTGCTGCTGCGGCGGCGGCGGCGGCGGTCTCCTCCTTTCCTGCCACCCGCTGCTGCTGCTGCTTAGCTTCTGGGTAACCTGCTCCACCTCCTGACTCCGATTGCTTCCGGCCGGCAGCAGGCGACACCGCGGCGACGGCGACACCACTGCAGCATCCTCCCAGTCCCAACACCATGATGATCGATCGAACGCACCGCACGACCTCCTCCTCGTCAGCCGATCACCTCCTGATGACTGCGCTTGTGCTCTGGCGTCTGGATGGTCTGCTAGCTATTTGCCCCGATGATGATCTTGCACTTGTACAGTTGCACTGCTGTGTCTTGCTGTGTGGTAGGCTGGTCTGGTAGCGTGCATTTATATAGGAGGTGGTTGCTAGCTGATGAGTTGCGGTGCTTTTGTTGCTAGGGGGGGTCGAAGGAGGAGGAGGCTAGCTTGAAGCTTCGTCCAAGGAGGCTGGGTGAACAGTCCATCTGTTTGACGTGCTTGCTCATTGTTCTTCTGCTGACGCTGCCTTGGCTGCCAAGGCTCCGCTCCATTTGACCTGGTCGACAAGCTTCTTGGGCGTCCAGTCAATCCAACATGTGCGAGTGAGTAACTTTCTCGTGGCTGTGGGAGAGAAAAAGGCGAAAACGGCGCTGTGAACTGAAAATGACGAGTGATGTGGGGTGGTGGGTTCGTTAACCTGCGACGTACGTGCTCCGTCAGATCACAGCTACTACCACTTGGTGGCTGATGATTTTGGTTTCTTGGTTTTCGAGTTTTCACCGCTACTCTTTTCTTGTGGTCTCGAGCATAATTTAATTATAGAGTAATATAACTGTTACCCCTTTATGTTTCACGTTTAACAGTCTGATACAAACAGCCTCCTCATGGAGTAATAATATAATTAAGTGGATGACTCGTTTTTTCTCGCTTTTGTGTTTGAATAGCTCAATAATTACGACGCCGCGACCAAAGGAATGGAGGACCTTGGCGCTGAAGGCATACACCACTACACCAGCAAGTAGTCAGCACTAGAATTCTACCTGGAATGGAAGCATGCATGCATACGTCTAAGGGCTTGTCTCGGATTCTTCATGTCCATCCTTAGCATGAAAAAAATATAGTGCCAGCAACAACTATATAACCACTAGCAGGCTCCAGTGAATCCCAGTATCCCGATGGCTCAGCTCGGACTTGCTGTTGCTGGCAGCCTTTCTAGTGCTGCTCCTGCAGCAGGAAAGAAGGCGGCCTCACCACCTCCAAAACCAAAAGGCGGAGAACCGAATATGAACCGGCAATCAGCTAAAGATCAGGAACTGGTTGCCCAGGTTGTGGGTGCGCGGAAGATGGCAGACGATGTCGGGGATGCTGCACAGGTGGAGGGGGGAGGGGGAGAGGAAGAGGAAGAGAGCTCCAATCGTGGTGCATCACTTCCCCTTCCATTCCCGCCCTGGACTACTGTGAGTCTGTGACTTCAGCCAGCTAGTTTGCTATGCATCAAACTCCATTTCCTATGTCTTGTTTGGACATCAAGTTCTTGTAATGTTATTGCTCTTGGAAGATAGAGAGAAGTTTAGCATGTAGGCAGAGATTGCTGTGTAAGTGGGCATGCAGCCAGCCCCTGATCACTTAGGTGAAGCTTAATTTTGTTTTCCCAAGGTTATTGTGTGCTTGGTCTTCAATATTTGGCCCCTCTTTTCCTTATTAGTTGGATGTGGTATTGTGGTCTCTTTTCCTTACTAGTCCCACACACATTCCACCATCCAAACTTTCAAAGATCATACATTGCTGTGATAAACACTATGCTAAGAAAAAATCAGCAATCTAGTCTAGTTAAAGAATTCAGATACCAAATTCTAATGATGTAATGATCTGACCTATTATTCTGTTAATATCTAATGTGAAAATTAAAGGGGTTATCCATTCCTAGGATCAGGGGGAATAAAAGTTTTATTTCAAGGCATAGTAATATGGCTCAAAATGTTATCCGCGAGCAGTATTGTGGCGAAGGTAAAAAAAAGAGTGACATGTACCACAGGAAACTATAGTTGAAAGAAAGGATGATATAACAGAAGGTGAGAAATAAAAAAAAAATCAGGGTGCATAAAGGGAAATCGCAATCCCAACAAACCATCTTCGCAATCATGATAACTGTCCTTGCTTTCCAAATGGTGAATCTATTACAGTTGGTGCCCTTAGGTGCTTGATCATAGTAGCAATATCAGTTAACATAAGTTCATCATGAGAATAAGGTGAAAGTACAGTAAGACATTCTTGAAGTACCAATATCAGTTAACATAAGTTCATCATGAGAAGTACAGTTAAAGAATGCTTACTTAGTTTCTATATGTGCAGCGTCCTCAGAAAAGTGTATTTACCTATCTTTCATTCAAAAACTTCACAATGCCCATCTGGTTAAATTCAGACAAGAGCTCTCCTGACCCGGGATTAAAAAAAACAATGCACAGAAGACAACTTGACTCAACCGCCTCAAATCAAGTATACTAGCATACATTTGGGGAGTGTTATTCAGTTCTGAGTCTGACTCCAGTCTCCAGATTTACATGCGGTCAACAACATGCTATGTGCCCTAAACTCTATGAAGTTGCAAACATCTGAATTGAATTCAAATGGACAGAACTGAATTCTAGTAAATGGTACCAATCTGTGCATAGCTACCGCATATTTGGGTTTTCCTCTTTAATTTTTGCTAGTTTTGCATTTATGAGCTTATCTAATATGGGGGGCTCAAGAGGGATTGGGTCAAGACATCTCTCGTGGGCAGCATTGTTCACCTGCAGACATATGAAGATCTGAGTTACAGGTAAGCACAATACGGAACAATTACACACAAGTGCAGTTTTGACTGGTCTGAGGCAAAATTAACCGGTGGCAAGTTGAAATGTATAGTGGCAGTATCTGACCTCTTTGAGTAAAAAGCTGATAGCTGCTTCATCATCCACAAATTCCTTAAGGGAGGTCTTGAGAAATTCCATATCCAGCTGAATCTGCTGAAATCCACTTCTGTTGAAAGTCTGAAGACGGACAAATTCTTGCAAGCTTTTCAGGCAGAGCTTGAGGACAGTAGAAATAACAGATTCCTGAAATTTACCCAGAATACAAGGAATTACAGTCAAAAGCGGCTAAGTGATGTTCCTGTATATGGAAGAAAATTATACTTGAACTATAGCATATCTCCCTAATAGCATCACAAAATTCAATTGATAGTTGCTCTATGACCTCAATCAGACAATGCATTCTAAAAACTATGATGCAGTTGGCATTGATGTGGATTTTACGAGAATCTGTGGGATTTCCCAATAACATAACAAGTGTTACGAGAGCCCAAAAGGCCAAAAGTGGAGGCGACTGATTCTGATACTTGGGTAAATCAGCAGGTTTTATTTTTGCCTATTTATTTTGGAAAACTTGGGATATAAACTAGATGAGCATTCAAGCCTATTGGTATGTCCGTTCACTCCGTTGACTTTAAAAGGGGTTCAGATGTTTAAGAGGGAGAAGCATAGAAGAATAGACTGCAAAAATTATCATGCCATTCCAACTGGAACAAGCTCATATGACTGCAATATTAATTACAAGTTGTTAAAATACTACTTAAAATGTTGACAAAAATATTTTGCCAGGATCAATATATCTCACAGCATGGTGCAGTATATTCCTGCAACCTAATGAAACTTCAATTTAGTCATCAAGTGAAAAAGGAAATGAAGGCAGAGATAATAAATACTACGTGATGCCCAAAAGTGATCAGGTTATACAAGTCTATAGTAGTCCCATTGAATAGGTGATCCTTTAGCAATTCTCCTGGATAACATTATAGCATAACTATAAGTTTGTTATATTCATCTTGTCACAAGAGCACAAGTAAATAAAAATATTCCTCTCAGCTGTTGGAAATAACTAATTTCCTGAGCAAGTATGCGATGCACTTGAGAAAATTCTGACAACAGCAAAACTATCAACGCATACAATCAGAATGTGCATTCAAATCTTTCAACTTCTGTTATAAGTTATAACCCATATAACTACAAGATCACCATTGTGATTACTGATGCAGTATTATGTCCCTTGTCCAAATATTTAACAAGCTAAAAGATTAATGAAACCAAAAGCTGATAACAACTTTTTGCATCTAAAAGGAAAGGGAAGTAGTTAATTCTGGGAGATTACCTGTGTGTATTCAACTTTGGTGAATATTTCCATTTTCTGCTCGAATAACTTTGCCAGGTGGTTTTCTAAAAACTGACTTCTAGCACGATGTGTGTTTGGTCGATTCAACATGTCTTCTCGCATTGGATTGCTTCTGGAGGAAGTCGTGCTACCAGTGCTATCAGAATGCCGGTGTCGCCGAACTATACCAGGTAAGATCTGCTTGACTTCAGATACCACACCATTGATCTAAAAGAAAAATGATGACCGTTTACTTAGAGAAAACTTTAGAACCAGAATTTCCAGTAAGAACTCATTTTCTGAAAGCAGACTCCAATACCTAAATTGGCATGGTACTGCATGCTCAATTATGAATTTGTAGCCATACTAGTATTATAAGTACACATAATGCAATAGGAAAAGGAACTGGACAAACCTCTAGGAGAAGTAGATCAACAAACATGTTCACTTCCCTAGGTTCCTTGTGCTGTTTTAGTTGAACATATAAAGAAAAAGGAAATGCAAATCTGAGCAACAAAACCAGACAAAAGCCAAATCACCGAATATTCTGTTGAATACAAAGGCTAACCTTAATCCAAACCGGTGTTGTAAATCGCTTATTAAGAAGTTTAGAGATCTTCTGAGTCTTCATATTTATGTACTGCGCCAAGGAACACAATATTCAGTCATTGACACTGCCAGATCAACTTTTAAAAAAAATGTACAAAGGAGAAAAGGATTAAGCTATTTCAAATTACAAACAGCAGAGTTTCTGAGTATGTTTCTGATTATGCTCCCATGGCACGGGAGATTGACCCTTCACATGTAAACTGCGCCTTGGCTGCTTAGAGACTGAAAATAGTTGCTTTTGGAAACAAAATTCTAGAGAAAGTAATGGCATGGCACTATGGATACTATGTTTTCATGACACAAGATATCATGCATGTACTAACATTGTTTACGGAGTTAAATGTATCCACAATGCAATAGATTTATGGTTCTCAAAAAATTGAAAGACTAAATAGTGCACACATAGCACTTTCTCCCTGTTACAAGAGTGCACCCAACTTTTTGTAACAAGGAGAATCAAAAGTACAAGACAAAATACTACTCTGCAAGCCTTCTTTTCTATCTTTATGTAGTTATTTAATTCCAAGCAGCAGCTGATGAGAAGCAAAGAAAATAAGCCACCATATGGGACAGTGAGATAAAACTTCTACATAAAAGCCAGTAACAATGAACAATAAAATGAGAAGGAACAGAAGATAAAGAATGCTTCCTACATGGTGCAAGAATTTCTCTCCTGATGAACGATATAGCCGACATATTTCTCCAGGCACAAAAGGTGGTCCATATTCGTAGCTACGTGCACCACCTCCAAAAAAAGAAGATGCTAGCTCCTAAAAAAGGTAACAGAAGCCAGAATTGTTTCAGTATGAAGCTTCACATTGGACAGTGGCCAAGTGATTGGAAACGACGCAACGTACCTCTGTAACTTTAGGAACTGTTGTTTGTTCAATGTAAACACAGAGTTGTGCAAGCATAAGTACCAAGACTGTTGGGACCTTATCAATTTGCAGAGAATCCATAGTTGACTCTTGTGATTTCTTTTTGCTTTTCCCAGAGAGCACATGAAAATGCCCATCAAGTTTCTGGAAAAAATCTTGAAAACCTTCTTGTACCCAATCAATAATCAAATCTCTCAGCTTTACAAGCAACTCTATATTGCCATCTATCAGATGATGAAATTCCTGGAAGCAGCATGGCCAGAAATAGAACATTAAAACAGAGCACGAGAAAGTCATGAACTTTAATTGCGTGTTACATTTATGTTGATTGACAACATGACAAAACGGATGGGTGTTCAGAAGTTCTGACGCTTCCAAGTATGTACCTGAAGGAGATCTATGCATCCTTGGGATACTTTGATTTTGCTTGCCTCCATAGCAGTTTGCAGCTGTGACTCTTCTAATTCCTCATTTGATGTTGAATGTGTCCTAACCAGTGCCTCTGCTCACCCATGTACAACATATGTGAATTTTTCTACTCAAGACCTTTTTCTACTTTCATACTTGTACCATTACAAGCTAAACCAAAATAAGTTACTGGTAAATCACATCTGAACTTCAAAATGAAGCAAGTTCTGGAGAAAAAATGCAGAGTAAAGTATGGTGGGAGGTAGGGACCTGATATTTCACTTTGAAGATGGAGAAATGCAGTTGCTATGTGTTGCCTAATAATGTCTCGAGTAGTCTGCCAGTAGAAAAAAAGAATTTGCCACGCGCAAAATCAGTATCAAGAA